GCTAACGAAATAAAAAAAAAAAAAACGTGGAAGGAGATTTGTATCAAATATCAAATATTTACGTACGATACGAAAATCGTTTTTCCCTACCACGTGCGGAATCAGGTACGCGGTAATTTGATTAATGATGCTTTGCTTTAGAGGAGGGAGAAAGGGGAAAAACGTTCCGTCGTGGACTAAGAAAAACTCTTTAAAATTTTTCTTTTTTTTTTTTTTATCAAAGGAAAATTTTTCCTCTGGAAAAATTTTATCCTTCAGGATATTAAAAAATAAAATTTTAATTCTCGGGATGTCTCCCCGTGGGTGTCATTCATTCAGACACGTGATTAGTATTTTGTTAAATTAAAGTAAAATACGATAATAACGAAAAGAAAATGCGGTTAGAATAAAGGATCATGATGATGATGATGATGATGACGACCTTTCGAACCTTTACCTTTCTCACGTTCGATGTGACCTCAATCGAAAACGTAAAAAGGAACGAATTATTGAAAGAAAAAAATATGAAACGAATTTTTTAATTTTTTTTACATCTCGTCTTAAGAAGACGAAGAAGAAGACAAACGTAAAAAAAAAAACAAAATGGCGGAAAAAGGAAACGAAAAAAGAAAACCGTTAGAAAAGAAAATATATATATATATATATAAATAAAGGATTTTCTATAAAGCGAAATCGTCGTGGAAAACAATAATAATTTTTCTCTACATTCATAACCATTTTCCTTTGATTTTTTCCTTTATTTCCTGTTTCCCGTATCACCTTTCAATTTTTTTTTTTTTTTTATCATATTTCCCAAGGGAGAGGAGGGAAAAGAAAAGAAAAATTTAATTGAAAATAACGAAAAGAAAACATTAAAAAAAAAAAAAAATACTAATTGAGAATGATATTTTACTTATCGGACAATGGTAAAAGGAAAATAAAAAAAGGTAAAAAAAAAGTTTTCGAAACAACATAAATAAATTAATAAAATTTTCCAAGGTTATACCTTGTAAAAATTGAAAAGAAATAAAAATGAAGAAGAAGAAGAAGTAAAAAAAAAGGTTTTTTAAAAAACACGTAAATTTATAATAAATTCCTTTAAAAAAAAAAAAAAGGAAAATAAAAGGAAATAAAAAGTTTTGGTAAAAATTGGAAAAGGAAAAAAAAAAAAAGTTTTTATTTTATTATTATCATTATTTCAAACGTGACATTTCCTCCCTCCCTCAGATTTATTTCCCTCCTCGTCGATTATTCGCTCGGAAAATTCAACGGAAAACAATCAAAGGAAAATGAAATTTAAAAAAAAAATTCACAATCAAACTCTCAATTTATTAAAAAAAAATATTTAGAAAAGGTGAGAGGAAGGGTGGAGGAGCGAGGGAAATTTTTTTTTAGCGCGCGTTTTCTGATTGGTGCGATTTTTTCTCTAAAAACTTTTACCCATCATCCGATTGGTGTAATTTTTCTTTAAAAACTTTTACCCATCATTTGATTGGCGTAAACTTTTCTTTAAAAACTTTTACCCATCATTTGATTGGCGTAAACTTTTCTTTAAAAATTTTCCCCGTCTTCTTATTGGTGCGTTATTCTTTCGAAAATTTTTTCCCCTTTCCCCATTGGTGAAAACCTCATTTTCACCTGATACCACATCCGTTTCAAATATTTCTTTTAACCTTTTTTCTTCCTTTTTCCGATCTTTAAATTTTTTTTAAACAAATTCTAATCCGATTAAATGTTTTATTTATTTTTATTTGACTTTCCTTTGATAGTTTATTGGTTTTTGTTTGTTGTTATCGTTTGTTGTCGGTTGTTGCATTTGTAATAACGTTTCATAATGAACAATTCTACACGTTTTATGTTACAACAACAACAACAACAACAAAAGTCGTTTCGAATTTCTCAATATCCTTGTAAAGTACAAAATCAAAATTGTTTTATTTAACATTTTCATTGATTCTCATGCATATTCATGCTAGCCTTTCTTTCTTTCTCTCTCTCTCTCTTTCTCTCTCTCTCTCTTTCTCTCTCTCTCTCTCTCTCTCTCTCTCTCTCTCGCAGCACACTTCGCCATTATTTATCATCATTACCTTTTTCATATTTAATTCTTTTTTAAAAATAAATCCTTCTTCTCCACATAAATAAAATCTAATTATTACTAAAGTAAAAAAATAAATAAAACCATTTTTTTTTTTTTTGTATGTGTTGTTGCGTTTTAAATCTGTCAAATGCAAAATCCTCTCACTCACATACCCCCCCCCACTTCTCATCTCCTCTCTGTAGCTGTCATTTATACGTGAAAAAAAAAGTGAAAAAATTCTAAACAATAGTTGGGAGAAAAACTTTTTAATTAATTAATTAAAAAAATTTTTTATTTAAACGTGATTTAAAACGAGAAGGTAATAAAAATATCGGGGGAGGGGGGAAATTAGAAGAAAAGAAAGGAAAGGAGAAGAAGAAAAACTATGACGTCGACGACGACGACAACAAACGACTTTAGTAATGACGATTCCTTATTTATAAGAATTTAAAGTAATAAAACTAAAAACTATTACGAAATTGTATTTTTTTTCGGAGAAAGGGAAAGAAAGAGAGAGAGAGAGAGAAAGGAATCGAAAGGAATGGAAAATTTTTCTTTCCATCTAATGACACGATAATTTTATATTGATAGTTAAAAATCGTAACGAGAAATAACAAATGAAAATTCGAAGGAAAAGTGAAAAAATTGGAAAAGAATCGGAAAAATTTAAGTAAAAAAAAAATGTGTGTGTGAGGGAGAGAGTGAGAGAGAGATTGAAAGTTAAGAAAATGAAAGAAAGAGAGAGAGACAGGCAGAAGAAAAAGATAAAAAAAAGGGGAGAGAGAGAGAAAAATAAAGAAAATATGATAAAAAAGAGAGAAAAAAAGAAAATAAGAGAAGGAAAGAAAGAGAGGAGGAGATGATGAAAATAAAGCAGGTAGAAAGAGGAAAGTGAGAGAAAAAGCGAGAGAGAGAGAGAGAGAGAGATTGAAGACTGAGAAAGGGAGGGAAAGAGAGAGAAAGAGAAAATTAACAAAAGGATAGAAAGAGAGAAATCGAAAGCTAAGAAAAGATGAGAGAGAGAAAGAAGAGAGAGAGAGAGAGAGAGAGAGAGAGAGAGAGAGAGAGAGAGATTGAGGACTAAGTAAAGGGGAGAGAGAGAGAGAAAGTGTACGTGCACATAAAAATTTTTTAAAATTAAAATTAAAAAAAAAAATTTTATTTTATTTAAAAATTTTGCAATAATTTTCAAACTTCGCATTTACAAATACCCACAAGGAACACCTGGAAAAATCTGGAAAAATTTTTATTTATTTATTTTTAAATCCCTATTTTTTTCCCCCAGGGTAAAATATTTACAACCGAAACACGCGCACTCACACCCTTTTTTTTATAATTAATTATAATCGACCATTAAACAAAAAATGAAAATTTTCAAACGATTTTCATTTTAAAAAAAAAAAAAAACAAACCCACGTAAACAAACGTTTGTTTGTGTTTGTTTTTTTTTTTTTTTTTTAATAACCACACAAAAACAAACAACAATCAAAAAACAAAAAAAAAAAAAAAAACAAACAAATAATAATAATAATAATTTTACTTACGATTATTTTATTATTATTTAACGATGTCGACGAATATTTCGCCAACCCATCGCCATAATTTCTTCCATTAAATGATTTTTTAAATTTTCGCGGGTTTTTTTTTTTTTTAAATTACTTAATTATTACTCACTCGTGATAAAAAATAAATTCCGCGAACGTGAATTAAAAAAAAAAATAATAAAAATTTTTATTCAAATACGTTCTCGTCCGTTCAGTGTCAGAATGAAAACTAACGTTCGCGAACGTTTAAATGAAACGTCGAAACATAAAGAGAGAGAGAAAGAGAGAGGAATAGTAAATGATTACAACAAATAAAACGAGAGAAAGAGAGAGAGAGAGAGAGAGAGTTATATTTTATTTTTAAGTAATATAATAAATTATAATAATTCAATCGAATTAACGGTTTTTTATTTACGTGTGTGTTTATCCATTGGTTTATAATTAACCTTGTTTTTTTTTTTTTTTTATTTATTTGATAAAGTTTCGTATTTAAATTAATTTAAATTTATTTTATTTATTCTTTATTATTATTATTATTTACGAAACGTTTTTCAACGAATAAAAAAATTAATTTTTAATCGAAATTTAAAATTTAAAATTACCCAAATTTTTTTTTCCAACTACGCAATAAGAAAAAAAGTTTTAATAAAAATTTTAAATTTAAATTTATGGCGCCAAATTTTTTTGCTTTTTACCCTGACACGTTTAATGTCGATGAGCCCGCCATCTACGTATTAATCACAAACGTTGTTGCCAACCATTTTTCTTCTCATTACTGACACGTTTATTTTGAATAACAACAATTATCAGGTTTCGTGTTAATTTATTTTTTAATTAATTTAATATTTAATATATTTTTTTTTTTTTTTTTTTTTTTTTAACGAATCGATCGACATTTTAATTTAATTTAAATGTCTTGTTTTCATCCGACGAAAAAATTCAGCGATAAAGAAAGGTTTGTAAACGTCACAAAGTTTATTTTTTTAAATTAACAAAAAAAATTTTATTTTTCTTTTTCTACTACACACGACTGATTAGGAAGCAGATGGATGATAATAATTATAAATAAAATCAAATAATCTTAAATAATTTTTAAACGAGGAGAATTTAAATCGAAACAAAGAAAAAAGAAAAAAAACTTTTTCGCCTAAATCACTCGCATAATTTTTTTTTATTAACTTTAAGTTTTGGCACATTCGAATACCAAATTCAAAATTTTACATATTTATGTAAAACATAATCAATTTATTATTATTATTATTATTAACGTCATTTAAACGATTTTATTTTCAAGGTGGATATGTATTTATCCAGTATATATAGATAAGGTAAAAAGTAAAAAAGAAGGAAGGATATTACCGAGAGAAAAATGTGTCGATGCACCACATCATATTGAAATGATGTCAGCTTTGTATTCTCAGGGTATAAAATGCGAATTAGAATATAAAAAATATTCAAGAGAGAGGAGTAATGAACCTTTTCACACTGGAAGAGTTAGAGTTCATTTGAAAAATGATGATGGCACACCAGTTAATCCAAATTATCCTACAAGTATGTGAATAAATTTACATTCACGTTTTATCATTTTCCTTATGCGAATTTTTAAAAACCTACATTTTACAACTCACATAATATTATCATCATTAATTATTTTTTAGTATTATTTATGTTTAAAAAAAAAAATTTTTACATAAATCATTCGAATATTCGATTTATTTTTTTTTTCCCCAGGAAAATCAATAATGTATCTTTTAGCCGATTTGATTCCGAAATTAAAAACTAGAGCATCTAAACAGAGTGGTGATCAAAATATAAATAATCCTAAAAAAGACAAAGGAAAAGGAAAAAGAAGATAATTTTTTAATTTTTTTTTTTTTAATACATACATTTAATTATATAATCAAATTAATATCAAATTCCTTTTTTTTTTTTTATAAACGAAAACAAATAGTTTTTTCCCCCCCCCCGTACGACAATAGAAATTCAGTATTTAACTCGATTAAAAAAAAAAAAAAAAAAAAAAAAAATGAGAATCTGTAAGGAAAAAAATAATTTGTTTTAAATTTTTAAATACTTTATCAATTATTTATCATTTTCATTTTTTAAATCAAGTCAATGATACAAATCGATTAGAAAAAGAATAAAAAAAAAATTATAATCATTTATTTGTAATCAATCATTTAATAAAATCATTTATTATTAATATGAAGTTTTTTTTTTTTTTTTTTTACTTATTTACAAGATATTTGACACTCGATTAAAAATTCAATAAGAAAAAGGAAAAACTTTTGAGAAAATCGAATAATAATAATCGATTAAATTTTCACATTTCGAAATGCACATTTCAAATTTATATTTTTTTACTTTGTACTTTATAACCATTTTTTGATAATGTTAAATTTGATGTAGGTGTAAATTTTATATTTAATTTTGATAATCTTTTAACTATTTTTACCATATTAACACAATCATTTGAAAATACAATTAAAAAAAAATCAAATCGATGAGATAATAATAATTTTTAACCTCCATTTTTTTTTTTTTTTTTTTTTTTAAATTAATATAAAATGCTCACTTATTCCCGAATGATTCCTTCCGTCGAATTCTATATTAAAAACTCTAAATATTTCAATCAGGGATCCGCAATAACAATTATAATTAATTCCATAAAGCTATATGATAAAAACAAAATCATTAGTACTAATAATAATAATAATGAGAGATGAAAATGATGTGATAATGATAAAGAATACTTTTTTTATATCTATCCATGTCATCATGTGTGACGGAACTTGTATTTTACTAATTGCACATTGTCTCGGCATCATATAACCTAAATCCCAATCTCCTGATGTTACATATATGCTGTTATCATCTGAATAAAATAAAAAATCACATCAAGTCTTCAATAGAGAAAAGAAAATTGAATGATTTGCAAATTAGTTTCATCACCTGTTAATCCTTCGCTTTTTCTCCATTGTTCGAATAGTAAATAAACTTCATTAAATGTCGGTTCATCATCGACCATTTCCTATAAAACATTTATAAATGAATTTATATATAATATGTAAGTGACAAACGTTTATTAATTAATATTTAAATCAATTAAATTATTTACTTGTATAATCCCCGTTAATTCAGTACAAAAATTGGTTAATTTAGGATTTATAACTGGTCTAACGTATTTGTGAAATCTAGATTCTTCTCTAAGTGTATTCATATTTATTTTCAAACATGGAAATTCTATTATTTCCTATATATAAAAAAAAAAAAAAAGGGTGAAGGTTAAAGGTTAAATTTTTATTTAAAAAAAATTAAATTTAATTAAAAAAAAAAAAAAAAACAAATGAATAAATTTCGATATTATAAATGGGAGGGATATAACCTGTTCGAATTTTTTTTTATCACAAGTTGCTTCGAAATCCAAAATTAATAAATAATCGTAATTATCTATTTTCGTATTCGAATTTATTAAATTCGTACATAATTTTTTTTTTAAATTTGTGACACCTCCAATCGGATATTTAAATAATAATTTTCTTTTAACGTATCTTAATATATGAGCACCCATAATTATTAAATAATAATAAACTAATAATAATCTCAACGCTTTTCTAATTCCACGTCGTGACGTCATTTTTTTTTAACGATTCCCGCTCAAAAAATTATTTTCCATCATGTCGCGACGACAACAAGAAGTGATAAATGTTTAAATTGTGTTTTAATAATTATTATTATATTATTTTAAGTGTTTTAAATTGATTTGTTATTATTTTAAACTTTATAAATTCAAGTGAAGTGTTTGTTAGTTAAAAAAAAGAAACAATGAAAAGGATATGTATTAAATTGTCTTGTAAGTAAATTACATTTTTTGATGCAAATCATATATTTGCTGTTTGAGGTTAACTTATTGTGTTATATGTGAATCCTTTTGTTCTATAACCTTCTTACATCTTACAGTAACCCTCATTATGCCTTATTTTTTCCAAATTGTTGAGTTTTACTGGCAAAATATTAACTAATTGTCATTTCTATCCCACAAAGTTGTTCAATCTTGACATTATTTCTTAGCATTGACTTTTTTACCACCAAAACTTATTTTGAAAAAGCTTTGGAATGACTGAAACCTATGTCATAATAGATAAACTTGCATTTTTAAATAAAAATAGTCAGTCAAACCCATTCATAGCATGGATGGCACAAAAGAACAACTTATGGGACAACCTAATAGAATTATTGAAACATGTCTGACTTAAAACAAAATGTATATATTCAATGTAAGTATTTTTTTTTTTTTTTTTTTATAAACTACTACTAACAACAAACAATATAAATTTTATTTATTAACATAATATGTTACATTCCATATACATCTCTCTCTCTCTCTCTCTCTCTCTCTCTAACTGATTTATTTAAACATTATAACAATAAATTCTCAACTTACAAAAACAAATTATTAGTTAAGGATAAATCAAAAACGTTTGTTTGTTTTCTGATAAAACATAAAAGCAAACATTTATTATGTTTTAAAACACATTTTAATAAAATGTTTTAATATAATTTAATATAAAAACTTACAATATTATGTGTGTGTGTGTGTGTGTGTGTGTGTGTGTGTGTGTGTCACATTGTACATATATTGTAATGTTTTCATTAAAACAAACTTTATGGATAAAATCACAATAAGTTGTTTTAAACAATTATTTTACTGTTTGTTTGATTGTTTGTTTCATTGTTTGTTGTGTGTGTGTGTGTGTGTTTAAAAGGTTTTAACATAAAAAACATATTAAAATTTTTTTTCTTCTTCTTCCTATATTTTAGGTTTCATTGATTTGGAAAATTTATGTTTTACAAAAACAAACATATAATGTTTTACAACTTAGGAAAAAAAAGGATAGGAGGTGAGGGTGGGGTGGGGGAGGATGGGTAACAATAAAAAATTAAATAAAACTTTTTAATAAAAGTAAAAAAAAAAAAAAAAAAAAACTTATATTTTTTGATCCCTTTTTTGGTTATGTATTCCTGTATATAAAACATACACAAACGTATTGCGACATCTAAAAGAGCATTGAAATAAGAAGAGAGGAAAAAAAATTTTTTTTTTCCTTATATTTTAACGTAAGAAAAATAAAAATTCCATTCATTTAAACACGCGTTAAAAAATCATTTTATAATAAAACAAATGGAGAAAAATTCATTTGTTATTTATAAAATGACGGAGTTTACGTTTGTTTAAAAACGTTTAACGAGGTCGTTTAACATTTTATTACCCAGACTCATCTCACCTAGAGCTCCAGTTTCAACCGCAGTGTAATGTGCGAACTCTTATTGTAAACTTTTCATTCAAAAAAAAAAATTTTCTTTTTTTTTTTTGTTTTTTTACCCCATTTAAAAATTTAAAACGTGAATTTTTTCTTTTAAATTATTTATTTATTTATTTATTAAACGTTATATAAATTAACGCCCAATTTTTTTTTTTTTTTCCAGCAAAAAAAAAATTGAGTTTGGAGTTTGGAGAAAATTTATACATGTACCTGGAAAATAAAAACGGTGAGTGAGTTGTAAATAAATTTTTTTTTTCTTTTAATTCAACAATGAAAAATAATTAATTTAAACTAGATAATTTCATAGAATGAATAACAATTACTCTATGATATTAAATTTTTAATTTTTGTTTATTTACTCTATGAAATTTTTATTTTAATTTAATAGAAAATAATTCGTTTCTTTTTTTTTTTTTTTTTTCGTAACGTTCAAATTATTTTATTAATCGCGAATCGTTCGCAATTGTTTTCCGTGGGAAAATTTTCTTTTATTTATTATTATCATTATTATCGGTATCGTTATTGTTATCATTATCATCATCATTATTATTATTATTTTGTCTATTCCTCGTTTAGAAAAAAAAAAAAAAAAAAAGTAACGACGTACGAATAATGGGAAAATTGAATTTTTTGTAAAAAAAATTAATCGGAATCTTTGGAATTTGGAAAATTTAACTGGAAAAACAACAAAATAATAATAATAATAATAATAATGTTAAAGAAAATGGGAAATTCTTTTGTTAAAAAGGTTTAAGTACGTTATAATGTCGTTATTAAGTCGAAGACAAAGATTTTTTTTTTTTAATATTCGAATCGTTTGTAGAAAAAAATTTTTTTTTTCTTTTTGTTTTCCCCGTCGAGAATTAATCGTTTAAGTTGATAAACTGGAGAGGAAAACAAAAAAACAAACAAAAACAAATCTTCGGAGAAAAATTTTTATTACAAAAGAAAAGAAAGAAAGAGAGCGAGAGAGATAGAGAAAAATATTTTCACGTGTCGTTTTTTAATAGTATTTAATGTATTTAAAATGTCAAACGTTATTTTGTTTTGTTTTTTTCCCCCTCTCGTTTTTTATTATTACTATTATTAATTATTTATCATTATTATTATTGTTGTTAATGATAATAATATTTTGACGATATTGCGACAAAAAAATTATTGCCGATCCTTAAAATGACCGAATGAAAAATTTTCTTTTTTTAACTCGACAATCAAAATTACAAAGATCCTCTCTCTCTCTCTCTATCTGTATTTCTGTCTCTTTCTCTCTCTCTATCTGTATTTCTGTCTCTTTCTCTCTCTCTATCTGTATTTCTGTCTCTTTCTCTCTTTCCTACTCTCTCCCTTTATCTGTATTTAGGCCCCCCCTCTCATTCTCTCTCTTTCTCACTCCCTCCCTCCTCTCACTCTCTCTCTCTCTATTACACAAAAAACTATTAAAAAGTTTGTAAATTTAAAATTTTAAACTTTTCGACAAAAAAGTAAAAGTAAAAAAAAAAAAAGTAAACAAGGGAATTAATAAACCTTCGACAAAATAAATTTTAATATTTAAAATTTCGACTATTTTACACGCACACGAACACACGTCGACGACGATGACGATGCCGCGACATTTTTTTTTTTATAATAATTAATATAATAATTTCGACATTTTAATTTATGGATTTTAATTATTTTATGGAAATGACAAAAAAAGAAAAAATTTAAAAAAAAAAAAAAAAAAAAAAAGAAAATCTCAGGTGAGGGAAAGTTAGTTTAATTTAGTTTTCTGTCAATATAATTAATTTGTTTAACTTTTAAACGTCGTCGACATTTTTTTTTTTTTTTTTTCGTTAATGGCGTCCTACGTGAGATCGTTATTGTCAAATTTTTTTAATCGTTATATATTCCAAATTATATTTTCCAGGTTTTCTCCATACACTATTCTTTTTCGGGGAAAGAATTTATTTCCTTCCTGTACTGTTAATTGCTATTTAATTAAATGATTCCCGTGAGAGAATCGTTTCCGTTTCCCTTTCTATTCATATCCGGTTAATTTAAATTTTTCATGATGTACGTCATCGTTGTTGATTAATTGGTTATCATTTTTCTCCATTCCGTTTTAATCGTGACTAATATTTTCGTTATCGGACAACCGGAAATTAATAAGATCGATGTTTGTTTCCTCTGATCGGAGCTTGTACAAACTTTTTAATTTTCATTTATATTTTTTCCCTAGACGTGTACAATTTTGCGACACGTGAATTTTTTTTTGTCAAAATCGTTCATCCATTTCCTTTCCCTGTCTTTGTTTTTCCATGTTTTCCCTTTTGCTCAACGATTTTCTTTTGGGATTTTTCCTGTCGTGCGACATCTTTCCGATTTCGTATTATTCATTTCCCTCGACGATTTATTTATTCTAATTTTTTTTTTTTTAAAGTATTCTTTTTCTTTTTAAATCCGACGAAAGAGTGAGAGAGAAAGAGAGAGAGGGAGGAAGGGAAATTTGTCGCAATATAATAATCAAAAGCGGAGTCCTTTACAAAGCGAGAGAAAAAAAAAAAATTTTTTTCGAGTTTATTAAACGTTATGATTTTTTTTTTTTTTTAACGAACCCTTGGTAAAACAACGTGGAAGCAGAATAAATATTTAATCACGTTGAAAATAATTTTTTTTTTTTTTGACGTTTTTTTATAATTTTTGTTTTTCAAGTGTCAAAAGATGATATTATTTTTTTAAAAAAAAAAAAACGTGGCGTTTATTTTTTTAATTACGCGTGTAAGTAGACAAAAAAAAAATTTTTTTTTTTACTCTTGCGGTTTCCGTTAAAAAAAAGAAAAAGAAAAATTTTCCAATTTGAAATTTTTGTTTTTCTTTTCTCAACGTATTGTTTTTCTTCTGCGATGAGGAAAAAAAAAAAAAAAGAAAATTTTTTTTTTTTTTCGGGTTTGTTTTTGTTTTTCTTTCTTCGTTTGTTTGTTTTTATGAAAAAAAAAAAAACTTTGAGAAAAACAAGATAGAGATAAAGAGATAGAGAGAGAGTGGGGGGGGGAGTGAGAGAGAAAGAAAACTCAAAAGAAATTTATCTTTTTCCATAAAATCAAGTTAATTATGTTTTTTTTTTTTTTTTTTTTTTTGGTTTTAAAACGTTTTGAAATTTTTTACCCTGTTATAGTTCCGGGAAAATTTGCCCCCATTTCCTTCCCCCCCCTCACCTTATCGTTGTTCCCTTTTGAAAATAATTTCGCCATTTTGAAAAATTTATTAGAAATTAAATAACATAAAAATCTGACGTGAAATTTTCCTCTTTTTTTTTTCTCTCCAGTTTATAATTTATATTCGTCCTGGAGAAAGAAAAAAAAATTTTTTTTAATTCGTAACATAAATCAACTTTTTATTCGCTGTATTTCTCCCCCCCACCCTCCCTCTCCTGCCCCCCCCCAAAAAAAAAATAAAAAAATTTTTTTTATAATCACATTTACGTAATTGAAAATCGAAAAGGTAAAAAAAATAAAATTAAATAAACTTTATTAGTATATTCTATCAGAAAATCGTGGAAAACAGAAAAACGGGAGGGGGAGAGAAGGGGAGGGGGAAAACGTGTTATTAATAACGTTAATCCAACGAATAAATTTTAATTTTTTTTTATTTCTTTCCCCCCCTTCCCCCAAAGGGTTAATTTATAGATAATTAACTTATATATTTAAAACCGATTTACGTCGTCGACGGTTATATAATTAATTTTATTGTTTTATTAAATTTAAATAATAATTTTCCCGCCATTTTTCTTTTTTATTATTTTATTCACTTTCGAAATATTTAAAATTAAATTTAGTTGATATTTTTTTTTTTAAAAAGAAAAATATTTCGAAAAAGATTTTCTTAAAAAATGGAAGATTTTATTATACAAATGCTTATTTAAATAATATTACGTCATACGATCGACGCCATTTTTATTTTTTTTATTTTGAAATTTACATTTCGAATATTATTATTATTATTTTTTTTTTCTTCCATTTTCTAAGGTAAAATTTTTTTTCTTTATTTTTTCTCGGTGTTTTTCGACGTAGTATTTTTACGGAAAACGTGGATTTTATTATTTAATTTCAAATAATATAATTAATAATGGCGAAATTATTAATCGAATGAGGAAATTGTAAAAAAAAACGTTTGAAAATTTCGTCTCCCCATTTTCTTCTCCTCCCATTCGTTATTTATTCCATTTACTTCCCTGTTAACGTTCGACCGTTAAATTTAAAAAATTTCCCTTCGCCCGCGCGGGGGAAAATTTGTCGCAATGTTACAAAAATGTAAACGTCATCATTTGTGTTACGAACTAAGGGTTGTTATAATAGACGTTCGATATCGTATCTCTGTGGCGGTTGATTTAATTATGCAACGGGGGGGGAGGTTGGGGCATTATTTTTGTATCGTAAAGTCCGCCATTTTTTTTTTTTAAACCTTTTTATTGTTATTTTCTCACGTTTCTTTTTAAAGAAAAAAAGGTAAAGATAATAAAGTTATTTAACAAATTTATTATTAATTTTTATTTGGAGTTTAAAAAAGGGAGAGAGAAAGGAGGGAAAGAGAGAGAGAGAAAAAAGAGGAAAAGAGAGGGAGAAAAAAGAGAAAAAGAGAGGGAGAGAGAAAAAAGAAGAGAAAAAAGAAGAGAAAAAAGAGTTAGAAGAGAAAGTGAGAAAGAAAGAAAGGAAGAGAAAAATAAATAGAAAAGAAACAGAAGGAGATAGAGAAAAAAGAGAGAGAAAGAGATGGGGAAAAAAGAGATGAAAAAGAGAGAAAAAAAGAAAAGAGAGAGAGAGAGGATAGAGAAAGAGATAGAGAAAAAAAAGATGGAAAAGAGAGAGGGGGGAGATAGAGGAAGGGTGAGTCAGAAAGGGAGAAAGAGAGTAAGACAGAAAAAAGAGACAAAAATAGGGAAAAGAGAGAGAAAGAGGTAGGGCAAAAAGAAATGGAAAAGAGAGAGAAAAAAAAGGAAGAGAGAGAGAAGGGAGGAAAAAAAAGGAAAATTTGAGAGTTATTAGAAATTTTTTAAAAATTTAAAATTTTTTTTCAAGACCTCTCTCCCTGCCACCCTCTCCTTCCCCCCTCTCTCTCTTTCTCATTTGGGTCTTTATTGCTTCTAGTCCTACCAAAATATTAGTATTATTATTATTATTATTATTTCCTTTATTACAATGTTGGTAATTTTGTCGGAGTTTATTTGAAATTTATTCTCCAGGGGTGAACCTAATTCTAGAAAATTATATGCTTCAACCTTTTGTTTTAGGCTTTTGTGTTTTTGATTCGATCGATACGAATTCCAAAATTTTTTTTCTTTACCCTCCCTCCCCTCCTCTCCACTCACCCTCCACCCTCTCCCGAAAAAAAAATTTTTTTTGTCATTCAATCGAATCAATACCAGATTCGGGGAAAATTTTTTTTTTTTTAATTTTTACCCTGAAAATCAGGAGTGCCAACTGATTCTTTTCTCGTTTGCAAACATTCACTGAATTCTGTTTTTTCATATCCGTTTCAGTTTCCCCCCTCTCCTCCCCATTTTCTTTTCTTTACTTAACTAAAACAAAATAATAATATTAAAAAAAAAAAAAAATTATTTTAAACGCTTTTTAATTTATATATATATTTTACTCTTTACTTTATTTTCTCTCTCTCTCTCTCTGTCTCTCATTTCTTTTTATAACTTTTTTTTTCCTGCTACTTCTTCTTCTTCCTTTACTTTTTTTTTTTATTATTATTAAATCTGATGGTAATTTTTTTTTTTTTCACTTTTACTGTCGTCTCTCTCTGTCGAGTTTTTTTTTTTTTTTAACCGTAAAACCTTCTCCTTCTTCAATTTGTATTTTTTTTTATTTCCTTTTTTTGTTTTCCTTTTTTAATTTTATTTTACTCATTTTTTACAAAGAGGGGGAGAAAGAGAGTGAAAGAGAGAGGGAGAAAAAAGTATTTTTTAAAAGTAATTATTGTCGACGTTAGAAAAATAAATTCGTTTGTATTCATTTTTCTTTTTTGGAAAATCTTCCAAATATTATTATTATTATTAAAAAATGGTTTCGAAATGAAAAATAATCGATAAATAATTTTTTCTTCTTCTTCTTTGTGTGCGTGGGCGTGTATTTAATTATGTTATTAGGAAAATTTAATACTAAAAAAAAACAAATGGGGGGACATCGTGTTGATAATGACCGAAGAAAACAACAATAATTTATATTTTTTTTTTGGTATCATTCGCCATATTTGTTTTTATGAGAGTTGACTCGAAATATAAGGATGGAAAAAGGGCGCTAAATTTAATTTTCTACTAATTATTTAAAACGATATTTCCCATTATAATTTTTTTCCTTTTTTTTCTTTGTAATTTAATTAAAAGTTCGCGTGGAAAAAAAAAATTGTTTTTTTAAGTTGACCTATGATTACCATTGTTAACTTTTCGTAAATAACAACTTTATAATTTCGGGTTTGGGTAAAAAAAAATTCTTTAAAAAAACTAATGTTTTGCATTAGAAAAACATGAGCGTGATAATTTTTTATATATTTTTTTTTTTTTTTTAAAATAATTAAATCGGTCATACATTTTGTTTTTTTTGAACTAATTAAAAATAGTGAATTGTCGCGCGGGCGCAAATTTAAATTGTCGAACGCGCGTAAAAAAAAAAATCATTTCTTCGTCCACGTCGATCACGTGATCGTCGTCGTCGTCGTCGTCGTTACTGTTATTGTTTATTCGGATTTGTTTACAATTTTTCTTTCGACGTTAATTGAATTAATTACGTTAATCGAATTGGACGCGGGAGATTGTTTTCGCTTTTGAAGAATTCTCGCGAAATGAGACATGACGTTGACGTTGAATACGTTAATCGTTTTTCCCGCCAAATCCTTATCCGGATGAAATTCTCTCGTGAATTTTTCCAAATCGTTCCATTTGTTCAACATGTCTTTCACGACGATTGAATACGGCGTTATTTTTTTCCTCTTGTATTTTAACAAACGTTTGGGTTCGTCTTTTTTAATCCCCGTTGATGTGTTCGCATAACGAACGTAATCATTATTATTATTATTTTCGTAAACAAATGAATTATTCTCTTTGAATATTTCATTTCTCGTCATGGTCATAGTTGCCGTAGCCGTCGTCGTGGTCGTAGCCGTTCCTCCATCGATATCAATGTCCCAATTGAAGAAAACGTTTTCGGATTTGATGACGACGTCATCGGTTTCGAACAAATCATCATTTGAATTTTCCAATTGAATTTTATTGTAATCAGGTTTGATGAGTAAACCCGTACGTTTTTTAAATTTTTTAAACCATCCTCTGCTCGCTTTGAATTCTTTATGATTTTCCGTCGACTCTAATTTTCCCTTGAGTAAATCTTTATACAATTGTCTCGCTTTTTCGCAAACTGCAGCATCGCTCGTCGTGTTCTTACACGTTTTATTCTCTTCTATCCATTTTATTAGTGATTTTTCAACTTCGTCCAACATTTTCGGTCTTTGTTTTGTTATGACCGTTATACCCGTCGCGACATCCGCCGTTTTTATCGCATCTTTTTTCCGAAGTATCGTCGATATTGTCGATTTTGCTATGCCGAAGAGTTTCGATAGATCCGTTACGGATACTCCGCTTTCGTAATTTTTAACAACTTCCTTTTTCTTTTCTATCGTTATCCTTTTTTTCTTATTTTGTTTGAGTCCTTTCACCATTATTTATTATTTTTATTATTATTATTATTACTATTACTAAATGATTCAATTAAGCAAAAATAAAAGTAATTAAAAATATTTACAAAACAAATTTTGCGAAAGTCTTTTGTTCGTCGTTACATTTACAACTCGGGAAAAAAAAAAAATTTTTTTTTTTTATTCGTAATTTTAAAAAAAACTTTTTTTTCACACGTTTCGTTAAATAAAACAAGTTCATTTTATAATTCCCATTACGGTTTTTTTAACGTTAAAAAAATATACTTCGTATTTAGTTTAAATGTTGTTACTTAGTCTTCGTACGATTTCAAAATGTGACATCCATGTTTTCTTTTTACTTTTTTTATTTTTTAAAAGTTTGTTAACAGGTTTACGATCGTTCCGGTTAACGATCATCATTCAGGATCGTATTAAGGTTTTTTTTTGTTTTTTTTTTAATAATTTATAATATTTGAATTTTGTTTTGGAAAAAATGTCGCTCGATATTCTATTATCAATGAAAACATATGCGTACCCGTTCGTAATTTATCCATTCTAAATTTCCCTCGGGAATATGACATACATCTTATCACGTGATCGTTATCAGGCGATTATGTTAACGTTTCGTTTGTTGCATTGTTTTTTCGTGTCAGTAGAATCGTGCTTAGACTCGCTGTCGTAAGAGGGCTCCGTACGTGATTTTACCATTCCAGACAGACGTTGAAGAGAATCACCTTTTTCTTCCTCCTCCTCTTCCTGTTCCTCTTCCGTTTCCGTTTCCACTTCTCATCAATTATTCTTTTTCCTTCTACGATTCAGAATAAAGTTTTCTCGTTATCAACAAAAATTATTATCACATAATTAATGTTTATCTATTTATAAACAATAATAAATAAAAATTTAGTCTCCAGGCAAATCGACGATTCGTGTCACTAGCCTACCTCGTTTATTATTATTATTATTAATGAAAAGAAACCGAAGAAAAAAAAATATTTGAATAAGGTTATGCGTAAATATTTTCAATCATTATTATTATTATTAATAATTCCGGAAAAAAAAAAAAACTTTTGGAAAACGTGGAAAAAAGTAAAAAAAAATTTTTTTTTTCGAACGTCGTGGAATTAGGGAGGAAACATAAAGGTTTCCATTCTGTCTGGCGTCTGCTTTGTTACCGAATTAAAATAAATATATGTGAAAAGAAGGGGAAAAAAATATGGCTCTGTGGAAGTCTGAAACGTATCCCAAAAAAAAAAAAATTTTAACGGTTTTTTTGTTGTTGTTAACGTTTCCGGTTTTTTCCACCGTCACCGCCACCGTCGCTCACCTTCTTCTCCGCCATCGTTCGTATTCATATGAATATTTTTTTAATTTGACATTTCAGGTTCGATGGTTTTATATCCTGACGTCATTAAATTTTTCCACACTCCCCCCTCCCCTGAGGTTTTTCCGTTTGTTTTTCCATTTTTTCCATTGTTGAAATGTATACGATCGATGTCATTAATCGTTTTAAAAAAAAGATGGGGGGAAAGATATTTTCTTTTTTTTTTTAAACCTTCAAGCGTGTAAATGACAAGTTACGCCGCGTAAAAGGTTGGTTTAAGGTTACCGAAAGGTTTATCTTGATATACACTCTTGATTTAATGGATCGTAAAGAAGAAAAAGAAAAAAAAAAAAATTTCGAGTTTTTTTTTATATTTTTTTTATTTCTTTCCTTCGGTGCCAATTTCCTTCCCATCCTTCCTTCTCCTCCCTTTTCCTCCCCAAAGAAAAAAAAGGGAAACAGTTGACAGAAAATTCTAGACAATATATATATATTTTTTTAAATTTTATCCCAGAATTTTTTTTCTTTTTTCTCATTGGTTGATCGGTTTTTTAAAAAAATTAATCATTTAAATTGTTAAACGAATGTTTTGACGTGACGTCACGTTTATTAGACCATTAAAAATTTAAATTTTATGACTTTGTAATTTTTTTTTCTCTTTCTTCTTCCCCCACCCTTCTCCCATCCCCCTTCTCCCCTCCCCTTGGGGGAAATCTGCAAACGAGATGTTTTACGTCATCGTTTTTACCGCATTACATACAAGCAGACGAACGATTTCGGTTGTTTTCATGCGAAAAAAAAAACGTTTTAATAAAAATGGAAGTTTGTGTTCTATCATGTTGAATTTGTGAAGTTGTAAAGTAAAGACAAAAGAATAAGACTCGAGGAGTTCTTAAGAAGTAATTATTTCCCTGGGAGAAAATGATAAGAAAGAGAGAGAGAGAAGGGAAAAAAAAGAATATGTGTATATGTCTGTATGTATGTGGGAGTGTGTGTTAGAGAGAGAGAGAAGATAGAGAGTGAAATTGAAAGGAAATAGTGAAGGAAAAAAAAGAAGAAGAGAAGGAGACAGACAGAAAAAGATAGAGAATGAAATGGGAAGGAAATAACGAATGAGAAATAAAAGAAAGACACAGAGAAAATAAGAGTGTACGTTAGAGAGAGAGGAGAAGATAGAGAGTGAAATTGAAAGGAAATAGAAAATAAAAAAAAAGAAGGGAGAGAGTAAGAAAGTAAGAGTGTGCGTGTGTGTGTGTGTGTGTGTGAATGTGTGCCAGAGAGGAGGAGAGAGAAAAAAAGAGAGAGAGGGAAAGAAAAATACAAACAGTGATAAAAAGCTCGAGAGAGAGAGGAAGGTACAAACAGAGATAAAGATAGAAAGTAAGAGAGAGAGAGAGAGAGAGAGGAAGGTACGAACAGAGAGATAAAGAGAGAGAGAGGAAGGTAAATACAAACAGACAGATAAAGAGAGGTAGCGAGAATGTGAGAGAAAGAGAAAAACAGAGATGAAGAGAGAAAGTAAAAAAGGGGGGAGAGAGAGAGGAAGTATAAGTCTGTAAAAGTATGAATCCGGAAGTGCGTGTGTGTGTGAGAAAGAGAAAAGGAGGAGGAAGCAGAAGAGAGAGGAAAAAGAGAAGAGGAAAAGAGAAAGATAATTAGAAACATTGAGTGAGAGAGAGAGAGAACGTATAAAAAATTATTTTGTTTATTTTGCATATATATAAATAGTTATTAAATTGTCTATCACGATCGGACGATCGAAAAGGAAAACGAGGGAGGGGGGCGTAGGGAAAAACGATTAAATATTCTTATCATGTTGTCGTCATGCGAACCATTCGAGAAAAGAAATCGTTGAAGGGGGGGAGGATAAAGAAGGAAGAGGGGATTAGAAAGGGAAACGTAAGGAAAAACTTTTGGCTTTTTATACCTAATGATAAATTAAAGAAAAAAAAAGTTTTTTACGTTGAAAATTAAATTTTCAGCAAAATCAAAGTTTTCCTAACGTTTCCAAATAAATAAAATAAAATAAAAAAATTTCCTTTTTTTCTGTTTCCTTTGTTTTCGTCTAAAAAGGAAAAAAAAAAAGGAAAGGAAAAGAGAACTTAGAGAGAGATAGAGAAAAAATTGAAAAAAAGTCAAGTTTTTTCGTTTGTGTGTCTTTGTGTGTGTTTAAAAGATATAAATTTATTTTTATTTAATCAGTAACGGATTAAGATTTTTTTTTTTAAAATAAAAATTTTTTTTATTTAACGAGTCGTGAATTCGACGCCAGAAATTTCAAATCATTTTTCGCGCCTTTTTTTGTCCCTCCTCTTCTTTCTTCTTCATTTTTATTATTTAAATCTTGACGAATTTATTATTATTATTACTCTATGAATTTTTTTTTTTTATTTAATTTTTATAAATCATTCAAACATTTTTTTTTTTTGGCACTTATCCCTTTTCTTCTTTCATTCTACTTATCCTTTTTTTATTCCTTTTCTCTCTTTCTCTCTCTATCTCTATCTCTCTCAGCCTTTCCAGGCTGCTTATTTTCAATAACAAAAAAAAAAAAACAAGGGTTGTTTTTTAAATTTAATAAAAATGAAACCGGGAGAAGAGAAGGGGAAGGGGAATGGAAAAAAATTGTTTTTTTTTTTTTTGGAATAATTTTTTTTTTAGAAAATGAAGGGAAAAAAAAATTTCCAGAGCCGAATAATAATAATAATAAACGGCGTGAAAAACTTAAAATTGAAACGGAAGCGTTTATTACAGCGGCTCAAGATCAGGCATTGCGGACCCATAACTATGAGAAAGTAATTCTCAAAGTCCGCCAAGATGACAAGTGCCGAATTTGCCAATCCCAATCGGAAACCATCGAATATTTAATTTCCGGTTGTCCGATACTGGCAAAACATGAATACTTAGAAAGGCACAATAAAATATGTCAATATCTCCATTGGAATACATGCCGAGAATATGGAATGGATGGATTACCCAAGGAGTGGTACAACCACATTCCAAGCCCAATTACGACAGCAGGTCCATGCACAGTTCTATATGATCAACAAATCCACACTGATAGAACTGTGCCAGCTAACAAACCGGATATCATCCTCAGGCATAATGTGGAAAAATGGTGTAAACTAATTGAAGTATCCGTGCCGGCAGAAAAAAACACCAGACAGCCAAAGAAGCGGGCAAAAGGCTGTAATAGCCAGGATGTGGGGAACAAAAACAGTAACTATTCCGGTCATCGTGGGAGCAGCACTGGGAGCCATGCCACCACATTCAATAAAAGGAAATTTAAAAGAAAAAACCATTCAGGAAATCGCGCCTTGTGTGGAATTTTTTTTTTTTTTGACAAACCTTAAAAGACTTCTCAGAACGTATAATTATTACGGATAAGCACCTCATTTTAAGACTTGAATTTAATTGAATATTTGAATATTGAATTGAGAATTTGAATATTTGGTCAAAATTTTCGATATTTTTATTCTTACGAGTTTTGTTGTGACGTCATAGGTTATAACAAGACGAAACGTATCCCATCAGGCATGCAGCATCCCTTTGATATTCAGGCATTTATTCTTTAGGGATGAGCGGGTAGAAACCTGGAATAAATAAAGACAAACAGTAACACGAATCGTCGTGATTATAAATGAAAATAATAATAATAATAATATGAAGTTTTTTTTTCCCAGTAATTTTATTCAAAAATTCAATTTTGAATTTGACGAGGCCTGTTTTTTCCCCCGTCCTTCTATGCTTCCACCTCTTCTCTCCCTTTTTTTCTTCCCCCTTTAATCTCCCCCCTCTCTCTCTAAAAACAAATTAAAAAATATTTTCATATTGTTTTTTCTGGGGGGGGGGGAGAGTAGAAATAATTTTTTTATTTAATTAAAAATCGTTTATTTTTTTTTTTTATTATTCTCTTTCGAATTTTCCAACTTATTATCACAACTTCTTTCTCGAAATCTCGAACGATATTTTTCGATACGATTCTTTCATTTTCGTACCGTGAAACGATTTTTAAAAAAAAAAGAAAATTTTCTTTTTTTGTGATTTTCAAAGGGAAATTTTCGATCTCGATTAATTTGATTCCCACCCATCCACCCTCAGCGCTGGTGGCGCCGCCTACCCCCTGCACCGCACGAACCAAAAATAAATTTTTTCTTTTTCTTTTTTTCAAAGTTAACAAAAATCTTTTTTCGAGTTTATTTAATCGTGGAAGAAGAAAAAGAATGATAAAAAAAATGCTGATGCTATGCGATTACTTTTTTCTTTCTTTTGGATTAATGCCACGTTTTTTTTTTTTTTCTCTTTTAATTCACCACTCGAGACAACTTTACTCAAGATTTTCAAATTTAATGAAGAATGATTCCTTTTTCGTACTTATCTTTCTTTTTAATACGTCATCAATTACGTCACACATTTTTAAAAAAATTAACCGCCACATTCGAACGACAAACGTATAAGAAAGAAAATTTAATATTTAATCAATCGAAAAAGGAAAAACGAGAGAAAGGATTATTTCGATTTAAACGATTCAACTACTGCCAACCTTTGAAAATGAAATTTCCCTCGGCAATATTATTATTATTATTATTATTATTTTCTCTTTTCGATTAAATTAACTTCCTTTATGTTGTTATAAACGTTATTATTCATTTTTTTTTCGTACAAATAAATTTTAAACTTTAACACACGGGTATTTATTAAAAATTTATGAAAATTTCAACATTTCTTTCTTTCTTTTTTTTTATAATTTCCCAAAAGATTTTCCGAAAGTGCGGCCCCCTTCCTTCCTTCCTTCCTTTCCTCTCACCTTCTTTCCCTCCCCCCATTTTTTTCTTTTTATTTAATCCTTTTGTTGAAAATTTTTTAATGTTTTATTTCTCCATCACGAAAAAGGGTATAATAATAATAATTCACAAAAAAAAAAAAAAAATATGTGTAATCGGTAGGGTAGTAGTCGTGGAAGGAAGGAGAATCAAAGAGAGAGAAAGAGAGAGAGAGAGAGAGGAAAAAAAAGGTTTCGGTCCCGAAATGATAATAATAATAATAATGCAAAAAAAAGAAGAAATAATTTATATTAATTTCATTTTCGAAACCTTTTCCTCTCTCTCTCTCCCCTTCTTTTCTGTTTCTCTCTTTCTCTCCCTCCTTCCTTTCTGTTTCTCTCTTCCTGCTCTCTCTCTCCTTCTTTTCTGTTTCTCTCTCTCTCTCGCTGTCGAGGAAATAAAAAAATTTTTTTTATGAGTGCGAGTGCGTGTGCGAGTGTGAGAAAAAGTTGTTGAAAAATTAGTGTAGGGGAGAGAGAGAGAAAGGAAGAAAGAGAGAGAGAGAGAGAAAAGGCCGGACCGAAATAGAGTTGTTGTAAAATTAAAAAGAGAGAAAAGAAATATGAATAAATAAAAACAAAATTCAAAAAATGATTGAATTTAAAATTTATGAAAATTATCATCATCATCAACATCGTTATCGTTATCATTATCATTTCGAAATTTAAATTTTTATCCGGAACGATAATAATAATAATAAACAAAAGAAAATAATGTATATTTATTTATTCATTTATTTATATTCGATCTGTTGGAGGGGCGGGGGAAGAGAAAAGAGAAGGGAGGAAATGTCGCAAAGAAAAGGTTAAGATGTGAGAGGGTAAAGGAAGAAAAGGGAAAAACGTTTTCTCTCTCTCTCTCTCTCTCTCTTTCTCTCAATAGTAATAATAATAATAAAATGAAACGATTCGAAATTGAAAAGTTCAAGTGGTTTTGAAAAAAAAAAAAAAAAAAAAAAAAAAAAAAAGAATTGATGACGAAATTATTATTATTATTATTATTATTATTGTCATTATTTGTGAAAATCAAACGATGCGTGTTGAATCCGATTTATCGATGACGATGACGATGATGATCGGAAAAGGTTAAAAGAAAACGATTTTGATGAGCGGGGGGGGGAGAAAATAAAAAACGTTTGTTTTCCTTCTTTCCTCTCCTCACCTCCTCTTCCTTCTCCTCCCCTGTCCCTTCCCCCACTTTTGAAATTCCGGTCGGGGTTTTTGTAATTTAAGCGAAAGTGTCCCCATCTACCCGTAATAAAAATTAATTATTAATATCGTTTTTCATTTTTCCCCCCTCCTTTTTTTTATTTATTTATATATTTTCGTTTGCTCGCGAAGAAAAAGGAAAAAAAAGGAAAGGAAAAAGGAAAGAAAAAGGAAAAAAGAAAAAATTTTTTAAGAAAGGAAAGAAAAGATATGTATATGTATAAATTAATGGGAAAAGTTTTTTTTTCTTTTTTTTTCTTTTCACTTAAACAAAAATTATCATTATTATTACGTTAAAAATTAAAGAGACAGAAAAAAAAGAAAAAAAAGAAAAAGGAAAAGAAAAAGGAAGGAAAAGGAAGGGAAAAAAAATCTCTCATTCACGATCACAATGGAGAAAATCCCGTTATCATTTTTTCCTTTCCTTTCCTTTCCTTTCCTTTTCTTTCTTTCCTTTTTTTGTTTGATAAAAAAAAAAAGGAAAAAAAAAGGTATATTTATATTTTTCCTCCCTCCCCCCCCCGACTGCCTTTTTTTTCTCCTCCTTCTTTTTTTTTCTTTTTCTCTTTTTTTGCTCCGAAGTAAAAAATAATCAGGTACGATCGTTACATTTCGGAAAGCGGGAGGGGAAGGGGGAGAAACGAAAAAAAACCGGAGTCGGAAAAGGAATAAAAATCGATTTGACGTTTAAACCCATAAATTTTACAAACGAATGATAATAATAATAGTAGTAAAGCTTAATCCGACCCTGAATTAATCACACTTCCTTACTACGTCCGAAAACGAAAATTTTTTTTCCCTTATAATTAATCGTCGTGCGTTCGTTCGTGCGTGTGTCGTGGCATTAGATTTTTACACTATTCCCACGTTTTATTTCGTTTCCTCTCCCCCTTCTTCTCCTCCTCCCATCCGTTATTAAATTTGATTTAGAAATTAAATTTACGACATTTTAATTTTCAAAAAAAAAAAAAGGAAAGGAAAGGAAAAGGGTTTGTGTCGGTTGTCAAGGGACGGGAAGTGGAGGGGAGAAAATTAGGGAAAAGGTGGGGGGAGGGAAAGGAAGAAAAAACGAAAGGAAGTGTTTACGGAAAGTAAGAGCGAGGTGGTAAAGGATGAAGGAAACCTCATTTCAACCTTTTTCGAAACCTTTTTTCAAACCTTTACGTGGTAAAGCAAAAAAAAAAAAAAAACGAAACAGATGCGCACGCGCACACGCACACGCGACCCGGTTTCCTATAAATTCGAAATTTGAAATATGTAATAATAATAATAATGATGATGATGATGATGATAAAGAAAAAAAAACCGGAAATTGATTTAAATTTAATTTTTTTTTCTTTATATATACGAAAGGATGAATTTTCTTTTTCGGGGAAAAAAAAATTTTGTATTTTTTTGGAGGTGGAGAAGAGGGTGGGTGGGGGGAAAGGATGGGGATTTATTTTTTCGACAGGAAGGAAATGACGTTTTTTTTTTCTTTCCTATTTTGAATTATTGCTGACGTTAAACCATTTTTTCTTTTTTTTTCTTTTTTAAAATGTTTAAAACCATCTGCTGTCGTAAAATTACAAAAAGAAAAAAAAAGAAAATTCGTTATGGTCTTTTTTCCCGAACGCAAATAAATAAATTTTTTTATCCTTTTATCTCATTAAATCTTATCACCGACAAACCGAAAACGATGATGATGATGATGATAATAATAATATTTTGTTTTTCTTTCAGGTATCAACGCTTCGATTTTCCATCGATTCGGAAAAGTTTTTTCTCCGCATTTATACCTCGGTCAGGTATTTTATCATTATTATCCGTTCATTTTACATTTACGGTACTTGTTACACGTCATCGATTAATCGAATCATCTTTTTCAGGTAAGGGAAAAAATTATTTATTTAGTTTTTCCTACTCCCTTTTCCCTCCCTTCCTCTCCTCTTACCTACTTCCTTGCTTCCTTCCTTCCTTTCATTCCTCTACCCTCTTCCTTCCTTTTTCTTCCTTCCTCCCTCCTTCCTTTTTAAAATTTCTATCAAAGTCCCTCCCCCCCGAAAAAAAAAAAAAATTAAACAAACATCTACTTATTTTCTAATCTTTTTTCGTAAGACTAAAGTAAAAAATCATTTCACGCTTCGGCGACAAAAATCCCTAAAATCAATTTATTTATTTACTCACCCTTAAATTTGCATAAGAAAATTCTTACTGATAAAAAAACAAAACGACCTCACCGACAACCTTGCGACAAAATTCCCTCATTTCTCTCCCTCTTTCCTTTCCCATCTATATTATTTTCACGTTATCATTTATCACACGTAAGAAAAACATTTCCTTAAAATTTATCGAAATACGTAATAATAATAACTTTTTCCTTTTTTTTTTTTTTTACATGAAGGACAAGATAAACAAGACAGAGACAGAGAGAGAGAGAGAGAAAGGGAAAAGAGGAAAAATTTTATAAATATGGCCGTGCGAATATAATGTGCGAATATAAAAATACGACACGATTGACGAAAACATTAATAAAAATTTTTTATATATCGTTCATAATCAACGTGACAATGTCAGACGTTAGGAATAACGAGGGGAGAGGAAATGAAAACAACAACAACAACAACACCGGAACCAGAAACGATGAAAACGTCAACAACAACAACGACAACGCGTGTCCAATAAAAAACGTAACAAGGGATTGTAATTGTTTTAATTTAGACGATGGGATTTACATCGAATGCACAAATTCGTCACCCATTTATTTAAATCAACTCTTGAGTTTAATTCATAAGAAAAACATAAAAACTTTAAATCTCGTCGATGTCAACGCGAACGTGACAATTCTCTCCGATAATTTTTTAAACATTTTTAACAATAATGATAATAACGATAAGAAGACAAAGATCAACGTCAAAGAAATAAAATTAATAAAATCAAATATAAGAATGGTGAGTGAAAAAGCGTTCGCGAACGTTGAAAGCAATTTAACATCCGTGACGATATCGAACGGAAAATTAAACGGTGTACCAATTAAATCCCTCGTCAAATTGAAAAAATTAAAAAATTTAAATTTGGAATCGAATTTGATAAGACGATTGGTCGACGATTCTTTTCGCGGTTTAAATATAAACAAATTAAATTTAAAGGATAATTTTATAAACGTTTTAACCGAACGGGCGTTCGCGGGTTTGGAAAACACGCTCCTAGAATTGGATTTGACGTCGAATAAATTACAAACGTTTCCGATGAACGCATTTAAATTATTAAAAAACATCAAAACGATACGTTTGAATTCGAATTTGATTAAAATTTACGGGGACGAACGTTACGACGGTGGCGCCGGAACCGTAAGCGGTGGAAACAAAAACAAACGTAACAAATTGACGAGTTTGTTACATTTGGATTTGTCATCGAACGTCATCGAATCCGTTCCATCGAATTATTTTCGTCCCGTTCCCTCGTTGATTTCCTTATCGCTACACAATAATTTAATAACGACCGTCGATGGGGATTCATTTGCATCCCTCGTCCCCCTCGAAATATTAGACTTGAGCAATAATAAAATAATCGATGTCGATAAATCGATTTTTCGATACAATAAAAATTTAAAAATAATCGATTTGAGTTCGAATCACGTGCACGACATAAGGGGTTTGTTCAACAGGTTGCAAAATTTACAAATATTGTATTTGATGGACAACAACATACGGGAAATCCCAGGGGAAACGTTCGACGAATGCAAATCCCTCACCGTCATTTACGTCGAACGTAACGTCATAACGACGATAAGTTCGAAAGCGTTCGAAAATTTACACAATTTAAAAGAGATCAACGTGAGTTTTAATTATTTGAAAAATTTACCCGGGGATTTGTTCGAGAATAACGTCAACCTCGTCAAAATGAGTTTGAATAACAATTACATACGAGACGTGGAAGGAGACACGTTCGAATATTTGAACAAGTTGGAAGAAATACGTTTGGACAACAATAGGATACGTCACGTTCAAAAGGGTTTGTTCGATAATTTGACGTCACTTGTCGAACTCAATTTGTACAATAACGAAATTTCCCGGGTCGGACAAGAATCGATAAAACGTTTGTCGTCGTTGAAATACGTCAACCTTCAAAAGAACTTTCTCGAATCTTTGAATTATTTTTTCGTACAAGTCGTTCCGTCACTCGTCACTATACGATTGGACGACAATCGCGTCAAGAATTTGAGCAACGCGTTCGTGAGCGAGCAAAAAAACGTTAGGATAATTTATTTGAATCGGAATCTCATAGAAAGCCTCGACAAAAACACGTTCGCGAACATGAACAAATTGTTGGAATTGCATTTGGACGACAACGTCATACGTCACATCGACGATCATGCTTTCGTAAACAATCACGATTTGAAAGTATTATTTTTGAACAATAACAATTTGAAAGTGATAAATGAAAACACGTTCGCGGGTTTGTACAATTTGAACGAATTTCACGCGTCGCGAAACAAAATCGAATCCGTTCATTCCGACTCGTTCAAAACTTTTCTCAAAATTAAACGCGTGGATTTGAGTCACAATCGACTCACGAGAATTCATAAAAATTTTTTACCACCGAACGTTCCACTCGTTCGAATCGATTTAAACGATAATTCGATACGTTTCGTCGATTTCGATTTCTCGAACGTTTCTCGACAATTGAGAGAACTCAATTTGAACAATAATCGTTTGACGATCGATGAAAAAAATTCCACGTTCGATTTCGCGAATTTGATTCCGCCGAATTTGTTAACTTTGAAATTATCCGGTAACGTCATTCGTTCGTTTCGCGAACGTGGTACCCCCTCTCCGCCGTTCGCGGTATCCCTCGAAAATTTACAAATGGATAATTCGTCCATCGATGACGTTCCCGAATATTTTTTTTCCAACGGTTCGATCGATAACCGTTTGAAAACCGTCAGCCTTTCCCGTAATAAAATTTTCCAACTTTCCGAAAACGTTTTCGTCAATTGCGTTCGTTTGGAAAACGTTCGATTGGACGGTAACCTTTTCGCACGGATTCCCTACGTCGCTTTCGACCCGTTGAAAAATTTAATCTCTTTAAACGTTTCCGGTAATTCGATAGAAAACGTTAATTTTAATAAATTGAACGGACTCGAAAATTTACAAATATTGGATTTGAGCCGGAATAAAATCAGTCGCGTTCAAGGTTTCGATGAAACCGTTCTGAACCGTTTGACTCACGTTTACCTCAACGATAATTATTTGAATCGCGTTCCCCCGGATTTTTTTCAAATTTTCGACAGGTTAACTCATTTGGACATTTCCGGTAACAGGTTAACGTTTTTTCCGCGACCCTACGACGAATACAATCCCACGGGTCGAAAACTTCGCGTTCCACCATTGAAACAATTAAATTTGAGCAACAACACTTTGGACTACCTCAAAACGGATTCGAACGATTTGAAATTTCATTTTCTCGAACGGATTCAAATGAGCCAATCAAAAGTCACCATTTTATCTGATGATTTTTTCCGGTATTTTCCCTCGTTGACTTTCGTCGATTTGAGCGGAAATAGAATTTCCATACTGTCCGACGACGTTTTTTACAATTTGTCCAAAGTAACGGATTTGAATTTGTCTCAAAACGGTTTGGAAGTGTTGAAAACGAACGTTTTGAACGGTTTGAACTCGTTGATTTTTTTAAATTTATCACATAACAAATTAAAAAACGTTGAAAAATTTTCAAACGATTTGACTCGGTTGAAAATCATCGATTTATCGTATAATAAATTAACGAGAATAAGTAAATATTTTTTCGATCGTTTATTTTATTTAACGGAAATATACCTGACCGGAAATTGGATCGTTTTCGTTCATTCGAACGCTTTCGAACCTAATAAAAATTTAAAAATTTTAGATCTGAGTAAAAATTATATGGAAAATTTACCGTTGAACGCTTTCAAAAATTTAGAAAGTCAAATACGAATCCTCGGAATAAAAGGTAAGGAAAAAAAAAATGTTTGTCGCGTTTTTACAAACCTTTTCCCTTTTGTATTGTTTCGACATTTTTCCCTGTTTTTTTTTTTTTTTTTTTTTTTTCGTTTCCGAATCTGGTAATGATTTAAAGTTATTTTCGGTTTTTTTTTTTTTAAGTCAATTGAATATCCGAAAAAAATATAAAAAAAAAAAAAAGTTTCGTCGTTTTATTGTTTTTCTCCCCCCTTCCCCCCCCCCCCATCTCTCTCTCTCTCTCTGGATATTTTCCAAAAATATAAATACATTTTCCCTATCCTCCATTTTTTTTTTTTTTTTTTTGTATTAAAATAAAAACAAAAAAAAAAAAATTTCCATTTTGATCGATCGATGAATTTTTCCCGATAATCTTATTATTATTATTATTATTAGAAAACTTTTAATTCCTTTCCCGTTCCATCGCGTCTGCTGGCCCCCCACCCCCTTCTTTTTCTTCTCCCCCTCCCTACCTCCCTCTCTCTCTCTATCTCCCGCTTTCCCCTCTTTTTCCTCGCCCTTTCATTTTCTCATCTTATCATCTTCCACCATTCTTTTCTTTCCCTCCTCCTCCTCCTCCTCTTCCTCTTTTTCCATAAATCCTTTTATTCTCCTTTCTTTTAACTCACCCCACCACTACTTCTTTTCTCCTACTTCCCTTCGACGATTTTTTTCTTTTTCTTTTCGAAAAGTTAATAAAAAAGGCGCGAAACGAATTTGAAAATCGAAACGAGAGGAAGGGAAGAAGGGAGGGGGGTATAGAAAATGACTTCATTTCCGTTTTTTTTTTTTTCGAAAACATTTTTCCGTTTAACGACGAGTGCTTTGTTCTCGCGTTCTCAACACGATTCCAATTATCAAATCAATTTTTCAAAACGTGTTTTATTGTAGAGTAGAAGAAAAAAATTTCCTTGTAATCTAACCTGTTCGTAATAAGAACCGCCATTTTTCTATTTTTTTTCGATTTCATTCCAGAAAATCCCATTACTTGCGACTGTGATGAACTAGAATTATGGGAATGGCTTCGGGAACATCCCAAATTAATAGGTTTTCACGACGGTTTGGAACTAAAATGTGAAAATCCATCTCGTCTCCGTGAGATTTCATTCGTCGAATTGATTCCTCCAGAATTTTGTTCTACTCCGATCATCGTTAAATTAGCCATACAAGACATTCAACCATTTTCCGTCGTCGTGTCCTGGCAAAGTAGAAATCATAGCGGATTAAATGGTTATAATGTTATTTACACGGATTTGAAAGAGAACAACACGGTAAAATCCCCCCAAATCCCCCCCCATCCCCCAACTCCCCCATTCCCTCTCTCTCCCTCACACAGTCTAAATTTTTCTCTCTTTCTTGTGTACAGGTTTCGACAAAAGTCTACGACAGAAACATTAGAATATTAAAAGTTAATAAATTAGAACCGGATACGAAATATTTAATTTGCGTTCTAGGATTTGGCTCTTGGACCGGAAATAATGATAACGAATTTAATTATATTTTTTTAACGTTAAAAAACGTTTCTTATTCTCACTCAATCAAATCTCATCCGTTTCCACCGGGAAAATGTACGGAAGTGAAAACACTCGAACCACCGGAAATCATGTACGGAAAAGGTGAATGGGAACGAATAAATCAATTTTTTTCTTTTTTTTTTTTGTTTCTGTCGTCGTCTACGTGTCGAACGAATACAAAAAAAAATTTTTCAGGTTTTGGCGACAAATGGGATTCGTCCAATTCGATATTAACGAGACGATTGGGTTTGATTGTCGGTTGTTGTCTGGGAAGTTTTGTTTTCTTCGTACTCATATCGATATTGGGATACATAAAAATACAAAAACAGAGAAGAGTTTCGCACAGGGACCAAAATTTACCGCCCGAATATATGTCGTACAGGTAAAATAAAGCAAGACATTTTTCCCTCGCACTCTTTCCCCCCCCCGAAAATTTTCCTTTCCCTCCCTCATTCCCCCCCTCCCCCGCGCACACACGCAATTTTTTTTTTTTTTAATTAAAAATTTTTTTTTACAATTGATTTCAAAGCGGCGATGGTGGAATGGTTCATTCAACTGATCACGTCATCGGTGCCTCAATCACTTATTTTTAATAATAATAATAATTATTATTATTATTATTATTATAAAACGTGTATAACGATTTTAAACAATTTAGTAGTTTGAAAAATAATTATGATAATAATAATAAATTTTTATATAAATTTTGTTATTAATTTTTTTTTTGAATTTTTGCACCTGAAAAAAAACCGCAAAAAAAAAAATTCAAAATTTTATGAATCTGACGCATTACGACGACGACGACGACGCCAATTTCAGGTACGTCCGTGAAAATTTCGCAAAAAAATTCCTAATTTCTATCAGATTCATTGCGAGATTACCTGAAATTGCGTAAAAACCCCCGTCGGCCCGGCAACCTCGGAAATTCTCACCGCCTCCGAAAGCTCACTTCGTCTCTGCGGGGAGGTGGGAACGACGTGGCAGGTCGGTACCGTCTCCCGAGGCACGAGGGAGGAAAGGATTCGTCCCGGTGCTCCGAGTCGGGCTCCGGATCTCTTTCTCGACTACGTCGGAGGAAGATTCGTCCCGGCTTCGGTGCGTCGGCGTACTTCGCGGCGATCGGAGTCTGGCAAACTTCGGTCGTCACGGAGTCGTCGAGGGGGGGAAACGGGGATTAATGTTTCTGATTTTCAGGTTCATGTCTATGATCTTTCTCCCGGACGGAGCAGCGGCAGGGGCGCATAGGTGATGGAAACGGGCGGTCCGGCCGGGAGTAGCGAACCCGTCCGTGTCGTTCGGTTCCGGAAGGTTACATAGAATCCCATCAAGAGGACCCTATCTTAGCCCAAGTTATACATACGGAAGAAAAAATTACAAAAAAAGGAGTACTGAAAAGAGCAAAACAAATCGTCCAAGAAAATAAAGAAAACGAGATAATGGAAGAAGGGCAACTTGCAACTTATAATAGCAAAGCCCAATCTCAGAAGAAATTATGTCAATATCTCCATTGGAGTATATGCCGAGAATATGGAATGGATGGATTACCCAAGGAGTGGTACAACCACATTCCAAGCCCAATTACGACAGCAGGTTCATGTTCGGTTCTGTATGATCAACAAATCCACACTGACAGAACTGTGTGCCAGCCAACAAACCGGATATCATCCTCAGAAGCATAATGCGGAAAAATGGTGTAAATTAATTGAGGTATCCGTGCCGGCAGAAAAAAACACCAGACAGCCAAAGAAGCAGACAAAAAGCTGAAATATAGAAATTTGGAAATTGAAATAACCAGGATGTGGGGAGGTAAAGACAGAAACGATTCCGGTCATCGTGGGAGCACTAGGAGCCATGCCACCACATTCAATGAAAGGAAATTTAAAGAAGATTTTAAAGAACCTAAAAAAAGAAGAAACCATCCAGGAAATCGCACTATGTGAGACGGCCCACATTCTTCGGAAAATATTATAAATAGCATCACCGAAATTCGAGTATTTGTCCCTAAGGAATTGGGTAGAAAAAAGAAGAAGAATTAAATAAGTTATGTTATGTCAACTTATTTAAATTAATTTTTATAATTTTATTTAATAATTTAGTTATGTTACATATATATTAAAAGTTTTGTAATATAATTTAATTTATTTTAATAAAATTACTTTTTTATATAATTTGTTTTTTATTTGTACTCCTTATTTTAAGCGAAAATCCACTGTTCCATTTTATTTTTTATTAAAAAACCTCCTTGGATCTTATGTTTTACGGATACATCGGAAAAAAAATTTTCGATTAAAAATTAAGTTAAAAATGACCGCGAAAATCCAACGTTTACGATTTATTCTAAAGTAGGTCGACCTTGAATCCAAGGCCATTAGTTTTACATTTCAATTTTGTGAAAATTTTCATGGTCACGATTTTTCAACCAAGGTCGACCTTGAATTCAAGGCCACCAGTTTTAAAATTCAATTTTGTGAAAATTTTCATGGTCACGATTTTTCAACCAAGGTCGACCTTGTTTACTGTTTACGCTAAGTAGGACGACCTTGTATATATTTTACCTGGCACACATTTTATTTTAAGCGGGAATTTTATTTTCGCGGGAACCCAATGTTGTATTTTTTTTACACTATACCTCCTCGGATCTTATGTTTGCCTGTTACATTTTAACGTATTTTACCATATTAAGGATGGAATGCATGATGGAAAATTATGAAAAGGGGGAAAATAGTAATAAAACTAAGCGTTGAATTAGTTTTGACAAAAAATTATATTTTTTTACTAGGTACATTTAAAAAATATAAAAAAAAATATTGATGACTGATTCATAATTGTAGTAGAGCAAAATGAGTACAATATAAAGACAGAAGAACCAAAAGGTAAATCTTGTTTTATTGTCGACTTGGGTAAGCTCTTGACAAGGTTGTGTGACTCTCACTTCTCCCGTTCCTGGACACTCCACTGACGTTCTTGTAACCGGAGCCGAGGAAATGTAAACTCGTTTCCGTCTCGAATAAGATGGTCTCAGGAAGGCTCTTACGAGTTTTGTTGTGACGTCATAGGTTATAACAAGACGAAACGTATCCCATCAGGCATGCAGCATCCCTGTGATATTCAGGCATTTATTCTTTAGGGATGAGCGGGTAGAAACCTGAAATAAATAAAGACAAACATTAACACGAATCGTCGTGATTATGAGTGAAAATTACAATAATAATAATAATATATTCAATTTTTTTTTTTTTAAATAAAAATTTTTTTTTTTTTACGATTGAATTCAATACGGCGATGGTGGAATGGTTCATTCAACTGATTACGTCATCGGTGCCTCAATCACTTATTTTTAATACTAATAATAATAATAATTATAATATATAATTATTATTATTATTATTATAAAACAAGTATAACGATTTTAAACAATTTTGTAGTTTGAAAAATAATTATGATAATAATAATAAATTTTTATATAAATTTTGTTATTAATTATTTTTTTTTGAATTTTTGTACCTGAAAAAACTGCAAAAAAAAAATTCAAAATTTTATGAACCTGACGCATTACGACGACGACGACGACAATTTCAGGTACGTCCGTGAAAATTTCGCAAAAAATTTCCTGATTTCGAAGAGATTTATTGCGAGATTACCTGAAATTGCGTAAAAACCCCCCGAATGTAATTTTTTAAATACCGTCGTCTGCCACTTTTTTTTTTTTTGGCGGTAAAATTTCCCATCTTTCGATCATCGCACGATCTCTCACGCAAACATTCACATTTTCTTCTTACACGATTAAAATTTTTTTTTTGAATTTTACGTATTTGAATTTGTGGGGAAAAGAAAAAAGAAAAAATTCTTTAACGCTTAGCTTACGATATAAATTATCTCATTCCGGAAAATCAAAGGAGGGAGAAAAAAAAGGGGAAAAACGTTAAATTTTTCCAGACGAAATCTGACGAACCGTTTATGAATAAAAAAAAAATTTTTTTAACTAATAATTATTCGGCTATAAACGAATTGTATCGTTAACAACACATCATCGTTATTATTATTACTAATTATTACTAATTATTACGTGTTAAGGTCGAATAAATAAAAAAAAACAAAATATGGAAATATTTAGGCTCGGTTTTTCTTTTTTTTTTTTTTTTTAACGAACACACTGTCAAGGGTAACCGTCGCGAATGAATTTAATTCAATGTCAAGGTCAATCAAAATTCCAAATCAAAATTTCCCTGATTATGTTGTTTCTATCTCTCTCCCTCTCTCTCCTCCCCTTCTCCTTTTCTGTTTCTCTCTCTCTCTCCCCCTCGCCTTCTTTTCTTTTTCTTTCTCTCTCTTTCTCATTCTCTCTCTCTCTCTCTTTCTCATTCTCTCTCTCTCTCTTTCACTGTTTTCTCTCTTTCTCATTCTCTCTCTTTTTCCCTTTCACTGTTTTCTCTCTCTCTCTATCTTTCTCTGTTTTCTCTCTCCCTCTCTCTCTCTTTTAGTTTCACTCCACAAGTTTTCCAAAACTTAATAATATATATATATACACGTATCAGGTAATTCTTCGACCGGAAACGAATTTTTTTTTTTTTTTATTTTCCCGGGGAAAACCCTTTTTAACTTTTATTATTATTATTATTATTCCCCGTTTAATTTATTTGACGTTTATATTTTTATAATTAAATAAATAATCGCAGAGGATTTTCAGGTTAAATTACACTATTAATGATACTTATAATAATAATAATAATAATAATAATAATAATGATGATGATGATAACGACACTCGATATGATGATGATGATGATGTTTACATAAATTTTTAATTTACCTTAACGAAAAAAAGAAAAAAAAATTGTAAAATAAAAACGCGCTCATGAACGAACGACCTTCTTCGATGAGTAAATAATGATAATAATAATAAATAAATAAATAATTTTTTTTTTTTTTTTTTAATAAAGAAAAAAGTTAAATATTGACACGAAAAGTTTGTCGGTGTTGTTGTTGTAAGAGGCGAGGGGGAAAAGAGGGGAGGGGGATGAAACTCCGCATTAATTAAAATAATAATTCACCTTGAACTCGGGACTCCTCGACATCCCTTAATTATAAAATTTTTAACGCCTTCAGGGGAGGTTTACGGAATAAGAAGAAAAAAAAAAAAAAAAAACTTCCGGAAAATTTTCACGAGGGAATTAAAATTAAAAAATTTTTTTTTATTATTTTCACATCTTATTCTCTTATCCTCTCTCTCTCTCTCCTTCTCTGTAAATCTTCCTGTATCCCCCTCTTTCTCACTCTCTGTAAGTCTTCTTGTATCCCCTCTCTTTCTCTCTCTGTAACTCTTCCTGTATCCCCCTCTTTCTCACTCTCTGTAAGTCTCCCTGTATCCCTTTCTCTCTCTCTCTCT